TGGTCAAGGCCGAGACGCCGGAACACCTGGCCGGCACCTCGACGACGCCCTCGTCGGTTACCGGACCGGCTGCTGGTCTGTTCGCCGGGATCGCGGCCGCCAACAAGAGCGCGAGACCCGACGACTGGCTATCCACCAATAGTCCTGGCTCTCCGACCGCCACCCTGCAGAGCCAACACGTCGTATACACGACTCCGCAGCAACAGCTGACCGAGTCACAGCAACAACCGCCTCTGGCACACTCCAGCCCTCTCGCGCACCAGCAACCATCAAACAGCAACAACGGATACGCCAGCCCTATGAGCACCAGCAGCTACGATCCTTACAGTCCCAACAGTAAAATAGGTAAGTTCTGGAACTGAATGAGTGCGAGGGAAGGACTTCAAGGTCAGGGACTAAACGAGTGTGGGAGCTTAGGGAAGGACTTCAAGGTCGGGAACTGTATGAGTGTGAGAGCTTAGGGAAGGACTTCAAGGTTGATCGTCAGTGAAGTCCATTTGGACCTCTGCAAGTTAGGTGGATGTAGACACGCTCCATCCAAATTAAACCATTAGCATTTCGATTTCGTACCTAGTCACCTTTGAATTATGACTCCAATCTGATTGCGAAAAGAGCGTTAAACTCTGAGCATGCTCCTAACACGCGAAGGCACAGTATCAGCCGAGGCCCTGCCCGGTAAGTCGCTAGGTTCTTATCGCAAATAGATGCTATCCCGACTTTCACATTTAAGCGAAAGCTTCAAGGCTAACTGTTTCCTTCGAATAGTGTAAAGAACGAGAAAGAGAATAGTGTCGAAGAGTTGCAGTTTTTAATGCTCGTTGAGGACGTAGGATCAGGGGACGCAGAATCGAGAGGGGACAATCAGGAATTCAGTGCACGCGTTCGCGTTTCTTTCGCTCGACGGTGCAATAGGCGAGAAAAAGAGAGTGAAACGTCGACCGAGCAGCCGGACGTGACGTCACCGGCTACGTTCTCCTCTCACGCGCCCCTCCCCTTTGTCTCTGGTGTCCACTTCCGTCAATCCAAGTGATTGCTTGCACTACTGCCACAGTACAGCGTTCTCGCGTGCTGCGCCGCGATGCACGCGACGCTTCGCGTTCGAGACGCATTTTAATGACGATCTCGAGGGCGCTGCGATCAGCCACGGATAACAAAATGGACGTTCTGAACCTTTTATGTTCCGAATCTTACACTTCACGAAATTTTATGCCTGTCGATAATTTCTTTAAAAGAACACTTTTACAGCGAAAGTTTTTCAGGTTAATTTGTTTTTTTGTTGAACTTTTGAACAGCTGATCTCGTAGTTAATGAGAACCGCTATGTGTCTCGAAGCGTTATAAAAATAGACCGTGGTGATATATTTTTCTGCTCGACGACATGTGCTAATTGACTGCTTTTATCAAACAGGGTGCAACTTTTCTTTTCCCCTCGTCTTTTCGCCGTTACGTGTGCGCCACTGTTGTCGTTTTATTAGGCTGAATTATCGATCACCACCGTAATAAACTTCCTCTTCGCTAGAAACACTTCCACAATTTTATTTCAATGAGATGTGGTTCCATCGTTCTGCATTCTTGTCGCGCACTAATTGTTCACTGATAAATCCTAAGTTTCGTCTACAATATTTCTAATACTCCACGGACTGTTCCATTTGGTCTCACTTATGTGGGCTGTGACATCAATTACGAAACTCCATTATCGGTTCCTAAGCGGTTCTGTCACGATATGGGTATTTTCACGGTTGTTACAAGCTGATTGAACCCGCATGACATCGGTCATGGGCAGATAACAGTATCACTTGGCGAAAAACTTCGACCATAATGCGTGTAAACGAAATAGAACTTATATTTAAAATTACGTGAATCACAAAGTAGAAAGAAATGCACCTGATATTTGAAAGACTCGGGTTTTCCATCGGCTAATAGCGGGTGGTGCTGCGAATTGCGGCAGGATGCAGATACGGCCTTGAGAACGGCTACGCGAGCGCAACACGCATGGACCTCTCACTTACACACGGTGCTGTGGCGTGTGTTACCCATGAGATTAATACCATCGGATCGAGTAACGTGTATACTGCGCGTTATTTAGAGCCTGCACGCTGCATCACCAGCGTCGCTGTACAAGGGGATCAACTGGGAAATTGGGTATACGTGCTGCGAAGATGCAGCTGCTTTTTCTGATGGATTTATAGAAATGAATTATTCTAGTAATATTTGCTCTTTCTTAGGATCTAATCTTACTTTGTGCCTCACATGTCAAATATCCAATTTCTCTTATAATAATAATTTTGATGTTCAAATACTCTTATAAAAATAATTTTGTATATTCAAATACGTGGTACAGTTGCTTCACCATGTGGACCTATCAAAATCTAAGAACGCTGTAATTATTCCAGTAATATTTGCTTTGTCTTGGGCCGAGGGTCCTAATCTTCGTGCCTCATGCGTCAAATATCAAGTTTCTCTTACAAAAATAATTTTTATGTTCAAATACGTGCTACAGTTGCTTCACCATGTGGTTACCTATCAAAATCTAAGAACGTTGTAATTATTCCAGTAATATTTGCTTTGTCTTCGGCCGAAGGTCCTAATCTTAGTGCCTCATACGTCAAATATCAAGTTTCTCTTATAAAAATAATTTTTTATGTTCAAATACGTGGTACAGTTGCTTCACCATGTGGTTACCTATCAAAATCTAAGAACGTTGTAATTATTCCAGTAATATTTGCTTTGTCTTGGGCCGAAGGTCCTAATCTTCGTGCCTCATACGTCAAATATCAAGTTCCTCTTATAAAAATAATTTTTATGTTCAAATACAGTCACTTCACCATGTGGTTGCCTATCGATCAAAATTCACTGGTCCTCACATTAAACAGGTTAATAAGATATAAATAAAAATGAATATAGCGTCAGAGAAATAGTCTCACACATATAGTGACACGTAGTATCAGTAGTATCAAAATGTAGTCAATAGTATGAAAATGTAGCATTAGGCAATTCGCATAATCTGCAGACCTTCACGCGTCGCTAACTCGTCGCGGCATGCTACTAATCGTCCTGTGAGATATCGATTCATACGACAGATTAGTGAAACGGTTACGTAAATGCGGCTGCAGCTCGTCCTTTTGCGTGCAGGCGTGTGCGTGTGTAGGCGCAGAGTGCTACGAGAGGCCGCGTGAAACAGCGCTGATGGGACGAGGTTAATGACAATATGTCGGGCTGCCACGGTTCCTCCCACGCACCGGCTGCACTGGCCCATATAATTATTATTCTGACGCGCACACACGCGCGAGACCATTTAATTTTCCATCGCGCTGAACGCGAGCGTTTTTGCACGGAAAGGTCTGTCCCGGTATCCGGCAATTTCACGCCGTTTATTTCTGCGTCGCAGTCTCTGCTTTCTTCCTTCGCCTCGAATCTATGGTCGTCGTCGCTCTCCTCCTTTTTTCCTCTTGTTTGTGGCAAGCCTGTTTGTTGATTGTTCGCGAGATTCTGCCTGGCGCGCTTCTTTCTTTTTTATAGGTTAGGTTGATTTCTCAGAGGTCTTCAGATTCGTCGGTCTGATTTCGGGGTAGCTTTGAAATTTACAGTTGGGTAGAGGTGGATCTTGTTAGGGATGGGGAGATTGGAGGATATGGGGATGTGGAGGTTTGAGGATATGGGGATATAGGGATATGGGGATGCAAGGATATGGGGATATAGGGATATGGGGATGCAGGGATATGGGGATATAGGGATATGGGGATATAGGGATATGGGGGTATAGAGATATGGGGATATAGGGATATGGGGATATAGGGATATGGGGGTATAGGGATATGGGGATATAGGGATATGGGAATATAGGGATATGGGGATATAGGGATATGGGGATATAGGGATATGTGGATATAAGGATATGTGGATATAAGGATATGTGGATACAGGGATATGTGGATATGTGGATATATGGATATATGGATATGTGGATAGGTGGATAGGTGGATATGTGGATATGTGGATATGTGGATATGTGGATATGTGGATATGTGGATATGTGGATAGGTGGATAGGTGGATATGTAGATATGTGGATAGGTGGATATGTGGATATGTGGATATGTGGATAGGTGGATATGTAGATATGTGAATAGGTGGATATGTGGATATGTGGATATGTGGATAGGTGGATATGTAAATATGTGGATATGTAGATATGTGGATAGGTGGATAGGTGGATATGTGGATATGTGGATATGTTGATATATGGATATGTGGATATGTGGATATGTGGATAGGTAGATATGTGGATATGTGGATAGGTGGATATGTGGATATGTGTATATGTGGATATGTGGATATGGATGCATAAGAATATGGAGATACAAGTATATAGTATATGAGGATATGTTCACCTAAAGATGTTCACATATGAGTACATGTACATATGTGTACATAAGTATATGAGAATATAGGTACATAGAATATAATAAATATAGAACAAGAGTATCTAGATACCTATGTTAGGTCTCCACAAATCTGAGAATCTGTATGTCAGATTTAATACATTCAATTTTATTAACATATGTAAAAATCGCTAACAATCCTCAATTACCCTATAACACATTCGATATAAATTTTCAACTATCATCACCAAGTTTCGTCTATCAACGGTTCAGTATTTACCTACATCGAGCGAACGAATTCAATAACTGCACTTCGCAGTAAAGAATATTATAAGAGAATAAATTCTAAAGGCTATTGTCACTGAACGAAGGCTGCACCGTGCAATCTTGAGAACCGGAATTGCACAATGTCCTTCGATGACATTTCCGGCGACCTTCCGCTGCTACTTCCGTCGGGTATCCGCCTCCGGTTTAGAGAACCGGAAGTCACGCTGGAGGTGGCCGTTCGCGAAAGCTCTGGTGGGGCTTTGCATTACCGGGGACCACGCAAATGGAGGTACACGTCTCCAACGCGATGCAACCTCCGGTTTTGATACATTGTCGACAATCTATCGCTCGCAGACAATCTCTGTAGCTACAAACGCATGTACAATTTTAATCTAACATCCTTAACACGTTTCTCTTTAAATTTCACCGAAATTATAGATGTGATACAATTTTACTCAAACATTCTTAACATATTCAATTTTCTCCTCAAATTTCACTGAAGCGATAAATAAGGTACAATTTTAATCAAACATTCTTAACACAATGTATTTTCTCCTGAAATTTCACCGAAACGATAAAGTCAAGTATTTATAGCTGGTAGTCTGAAAAATATTTTCTTTAAAAAAGAATGAGATGTCACCCGAATTTCACTCGGAGCAAAACACGCGCGTCCTTTATGACCGGTAAAAATTTCCATC